CTCTCTCTCTCTCTCTCTCTCTCTCTCTCTCTCTCTCTCTCTCACACACACACACACACACACACACACACACACACACACACACACACACACAACACAAACGCACACACGCACGCACGCACGCACGGACGGACGAGCGCACGCAAAAGCATCCTGGGTTGTCGGGGTTCAATCTCCTGCTCAGTCAGTGAAAGTCCGACGGAAGTCTGGCCCAGCCATGCTTCTTTTGTGCAGTAGTGAATAGAGACCATGACAACGCGCGCACACACGCACAAGCACACGCACACGCACGCGCACACTCGCACGCGCACACCAAGCGGCGAGGCCCCCCAGCGGAGAGCAAATCTGAAGTAAATAAACGAAATGAAACAAACGGACAACAAGATAGCCCTCTCGCCAAAAGTCCGAGAAAAGTGTAGTGTCTGTTCTGATCAGTTTAATATCTGATCCGTGGTCCATCGGACCACACACACACACACACACACACACACAAAAAAAAAAAAAAAAAAAAAAAAAGTTCCTCTCGTTCGCTTACTAGCCCCCTGGCTCACGTGCTCACCGTACCCGACAGCAGCTCAGCACTCCCTCTCTCCTGGATGACTGGCGAGCGGTATGTGCTCAAACCTTTGATCTACCTTCTCGTTGCCCTCCATCGCTCAACCTCCTCTTCCTTTTTCTCGCTGCTGTTCATCTCTCGCCTCTACCTACAGATAAACTACTGTAATTATTCGTCCGTCCATCGCCACGTACGTACGTTGACGTCTCACCAGAAGCTGGAGTCCTGCCGTCCTCCTGCATGAAACCTTTTGATCACGTGATAAGTGACAGCGAAAGGAGTCTCCGTAGAGTATGCAGAACAAATCAATTTCCTTGTCCATCGTCTACACCTACATTCACTCACTGTGAAGAAGTAACGGTTTCAAAAAATGATGTAGTCAAATGATGTAATCTTTGCGTTCTGGAGAAACAGCAGATAATGCCACACGTTATTGCACAACCATATCTGTATTGCGGACACCAAACACATACTCACACTCATTAAATGATTAAACTCCTCTCTAGAAAGAAATCATCACGAGCACACACACACACACACACACACACACACACACACACACACACACACA